GCGAGCTCCTGGGGGCTTTGGGGGCGGCTGGGGCGCCCGGCGGTCCTGCGGCAGGCGTGCTAGGCCGCGTGTGGTTTCTGTGCCAGATACACCCCCTACCCCAACCTGTACCCCGACCAGTCCCCGAGCGAAGACTGGACCATGGAGGAGCGCTTCCGCCCGCTCACCTTCCACGGCCTGATCCTGCGCTCGCAGCTCGTCACGCTCCTGGTCCGCGGCGTCTGCTACTCCGAAAGTCAGTCGGTGAGCGGGGCGCCGGCGCCAGGGAAGGTGCGGGTGGCGGGACACGCCCACCCTCCCGTGTCCTTGGAGGCCAAGGGCCACCTCTGCCGCAGGCATTGTCGCTGCAGTGACGCTGGATAGCGCGTGTCCACTTGGCCTTGATTCCTGCTGACCTGTAGCTTCTCAGCCTGGTTTTACATGCTAATGTCGGGTGTAAGGCCAGCTGGGGTCACTCATGACAGGCCTGCAGAGGGACAGCTAACATGAGAGTGGCCGGGGCTTGGGGATGTGGCCTGGGGGGATCCGCTTGCAAAGGGTGGGCTGAAGGTGTTTTGCGGGTGAGGGTGTTAGAGGGGAACCAGGGGGCTTACAGAGGACTCGCCTGCCCGCTGGAGCCCACCGAAGCCTGCCAACAGCGAGCTGGGGCCCCTGGCCACTGGGCAGGCAGTGGACAAGAGAGCGAGTACAGAGTGGACCTGGGGGCAGGGGGCAGGGCAGCAGGGACCCCTGCTGAGTACCTGAGAGCTGTGGGGCGGCGGGGACGCCCGCGGGTGGCAAGCAGCCGCCAGGCCAAGCACGGAGGAAGCAGCCAGGCTGGCGGGCACTCGGGACTGCTGCGGCCACCTGCCGCACACAGGTGGCTTCAAGCCACGGGGGTTTTTTTCTTTCCTAGTTCTCGAGGTCAGAGTAAATGCCAGGGCCTCGGGCCTCTGGAGGCTCCTGGGAAGGCGCCTTCCTGCCTCCCTAGCTCCTGCTGGCGTCTGGTGGGCCCGTCTCCACCCCCTCGTCCTCCCCCGCTTCCTCTCCTCTTCCTGGAAGGACACGGTCACTTGGACGTCGGGCCCACCAGTCCAACATGACTCATCCTGACTGCATCCCCCAGCCAGCACCTAGTGAGACACCCATGTGGGTGCCGGTCTCTCGGGCTCAGACTTCTCTGCCTGGGGATACCAGGGACCCCACCTCATCGCTACAAATGAGCTCTGTTCTTGCTTGAACTTCAGAGTAGCAGCCTGTCGGTGACTTGGCCGAGAGCGGCTGGGATGCGAGGCCTTGCCCCACAGCCCTCGTCTGCTCTGCTCCAGGCCCCCACCCGGCTGTGTCTGGGGGACGCAGAGTACGAGGGGAGCTAGAGGCGACCCGCCCTGTGCTCCGTGCCAGCCGGTGTCTTGGTTGGGTTGCAGAGCGCCAGCCAGCCGCGCCTGTCCTACGCCGAGATGGCCGAGGACTACCCGCGCTACCCAGACATCCACGACCTGGACCTGACCCTGCTGAACCCCAGGATGATCGTGGTGAGAAGGTTGCGCCTTCGGGACAGTCTGCCAGGAAGAGGCCAGAGGCCTCCCCGCATGGACAGACGTCACCTGGTCCTGCCGGGACGCGCCTGGCTGCGCTGACCTGTGCTGCCTTTTCTCTGCAGGATGTCACCCCATACATGAACCCTTCGCCCTTCACCGTGTCACCCAACACCCACGTCTCCCAAGTTTTCAACCTGTTCAGAACCATGGGCCTGCGGCACTTGCCAGTGGTGAACGCGGTGGGAGAGGTGCGCCTGCGCGGGGCATGGGGCGAGGTGCGCCTGCGCGGGGCGTGGGGCGAGGTGCGCCTGCGCGGGGCGTGGGGCGAGGCCGCGCCGGTGCTGGCGCCCGCGTGGCCGCCCAGCGCCTCTAGAGAGGATCTCCCCACGGTGCTGTGTGTAAGCCGGGGCTTCTCCCCCGGAGGAAACATCAGAATCCCACGGCGGCCTTTATCTGCTTAAACCGCCCCCAAGGAGCTGCCTTTGCCTCCTGTGGTTGGTGTGGGCCATCTCCAGTGTGGCCAGCAGGGGGCGCCCGTGCCTCGCTGCACTTGCTCTCGCTGCTGGTCGTTGGCCCCTGAAGTGTGGCAGGAGCCTGTTCTGCATTTCCAGTTTCTTCTCACCCCCCTCATCCCATCCCTACTCTGACCCCCATCCTGGGAATTTGTGACAGTAAATGAGAGGCTTTCTAGCACAAGGCAGAGCTTTAAAAGACACCACACCTAGTCGTTTGTCCTGGAGACTTCTACTTCTTGGACTTCCCTTTTTTCTTACTACATGAGTGTTATGTCACTGTAGAAAAATAAGAAAATACAAGTAAACACCAAAAGAGAATCCCACCTCTTACCTCTCTAGAGGTTGCTTGTTCACGTTTTAAGGTGGAATCCGGCCGGCTTTTCTCTGCATCTAGAAATCGAGGTTTACGTAGCAGGCTTTCTGGCAGCCTTACCACGACTGTGATTTCTCGTCTACCCCGTAGGGAAAGCTGCCGGGGCAGAAAACCTCCGCTGTGGCTATTCTAATGGCCCGCGGGCGCCCCGCGGCGTGGCTGTCAGCTCTGCCCAGTCCCGTCGGGGGTGTCTACTTAATTCCCAGCGGCCGTCACCCTTTAGAGGTGTCCAAGCCGTGCGCTGGGACTGACACGCGGAAGCCACAGCGTCGCGGCCACCCTGGCGCCTAGCCGTCCTG